TATGGTCCCGAAAGATTATAAACTCCCGAAAATCGTCGAAATTTTGCAACAAATGGAAGACAAAATTCAATCTCTGTCTACAGAAACATAAGGAACTTCGTTGATAACCCTTCACTAGAATTTATTTGCCAGGGATAACCGATTCTGACCGTAAACTAATGATATAAGTATAGGATATAACCACTTTAATATAGTATTTATAAAGGTGAAGGGTGGAACACTCTATCTTATCTGCCAAACAGCGGCGCCTGCAGACTAGTGTCATCTCTGTATATCAAGATTCGTAAGCAGAATAGCGACAGCCAGATGGCCAAAGTGATTTCTTTAAACTCTTTCGCGGTGTTGGCACTAAGAGAGCATTTTTAGCAAGCCTATTATGGGTTCGGCCAGGCCCACAAAGGGGCGACTGGGTGATGAGAGACGGGGCCAACATATCTGGACGGACCACCCCCAAAAATTTTGTCATTTGACCCGTCCAGATTCGATCTCAGATTCCCAGGCGTAACTACAGTTTGAGCCGCCCGGGGTAGTCTGTCAATTGCTGTCCTTCCTTTGGGAAATACATAACACAGATCAAACCTATTTTAAACACAATTTGAATATTAAGTTTAAGAAAAAATTATTTTATTTCTTTTATTTATAAATAATTTTACTCTTCTTATCATTAAAAGTGTTTTAAAAAAATTTTAATGCCAAAAATGCCGCCCAGGGCGACTCTGCCCTCCGTTCACCCCTCGTTACGCCACTGCCCAGAGCAGTAGGCTGCCATCTTAATCGTTCTTCGGGAATCGAATCTGGGCAGTCCAAACCCCAGGAGTATTTTATGGGCGCTATGTCTGGCCCATCCCCCCACCCGCTGAAACTCAAGATGAATATGGATAAAGGTCCTCTTAGTGCCAATAGAGCAGAGCAAAAAAATGAAAAAAGCGTCATCCTTATATTATCAAGAAGTAACTTTATAAATTTCACATTATATTCTTATTTTCAATAAATATAATTTCCCGAGCTTTTTCTTAACTTGATCTAATAACTAATAAGCTTGAGAAGCTAATCACAAAACAATTTTATAAACTATGTGTGTAAATGTTTTATCAATATATTTTAATAATGTAATTGTTCGAGAAAATTTATGTACACATAATGCACTGTATTAAATTCTTGGTGTACGAAACACACTGAACTTTGATCAGTAAACGATTAATTTGCGATTATGATTAACGCAGACTACTTATATATAGGCTATATATAAGTTGTATAACTAATTTGTATTATTTGTGTTATTTGTATTATTTGTATTTGTGTAACATAAACTAGACGCTTTATTTTGAATATTTCATATATTTACTAGTGATGTAACGAATATTCGGTTACTATTCGGTATTCGGCCTATTTTTCGCTATTCGGACGAATACCGAATACGTACTTAAAAACAGGAGTAAGAAATAAGAAAAACACAGTAAATTAATCATTTTGGTATTTAGATTTAATGTTATCGGGTTAGTGTTGTTTGTTTATATTTATTTATAACTTATAACATGCACAAAATAAAAAAGAAAATAATATTAGTCACACTTATTTACAATTTATAATTACAAATATCAGCACACGTTCACAACCTATTCGTTCGAGAATCGTCACACACATCTGAGGGTCTGACCCTGTCTGTCCTTTTTTAAGCGCTCGTCTTTGCTCTTCCCTTTCTCTTTCCTCTATCTCTCTAGTCCACGTATGCCTATGCCTACATCATAATACGCGCTCACGATACTTTTGATTTGTAGTTTTTTCATTTTATAATTACGTGACTCATAGCCTGGTGATAATGGAGAAAAGAGACACATAGGACATCGGTATATGTCATAGTTATGATTTCGCTGATTCGAGACAGCTTGATAGCCCGAACAGACTCAGGCTTTCGCCCATGCACGCTAAGTTACTTTCATTACAAGCATTTAGCTTTCCGAAGTCTATGACAACACTTGTTTGGCATTGACGGTCGCAAATTTAGCGCCAATAAGCTGCTTCGACTTGTTCGATTATGTTATCAACTCAAGTTCATATTTATTTTCACATTTTCACTTCGCAGTCTTTCTCTGTTCTTTCTCCGTTATTTACAGGTGTAGGTCATTTCATTGTTATTCACATTTGATATCATCATTTATCACATACTGCCATGACGCTCTTGTCTGTCTGCTACAACTGTCAAGAATTAACGCGATTGGCGAAGCGTAGTGACAGTGGGCCAATGGAGAGCACGTCCTTGCCATAATGCGGTTTGCGCGCCAATTTTCGTAGTGCGTTAATCAAGCTGAATAGTTTGGCCGAATAGCCGAATATTCGGCCAAACTATTCAGCTTGATAGTCGAATATACTATTCGTTGCAACACTAATATTTACTTTAAACACGCCAGTTAAAATCGGTAATTTTTAGCTTGATTGTTTTGTTTCCAGATCTAAACTAGAATTTTGAGCTAAAAATCTTGGGTTTGACTTATACATCGGAATTCATAAAGGGGGAACGCTTTAAGGATGCGTGAAAATACAACGATGTCAATATTGGAATTACATGCTTTGACAGAAAAAAGCAAAGTTCAGTATGAAAAACTTCTTAACCATTATAACGCTGTAATTCTGATTTTATTGTCGTCAAATAAATTTATTTTTATTGCTAAAACAATTTTAATGAATAAATTGGGAAAGAGTTTTAGTACTTCGTTTGATAACATTAAACTTTTTTTTTTTTTACTCTGCCCTGTAGCCACTAAGAGAGTATTTTTTAAAGCCTATTATGGGTTCGTTCAGGCACACAACGGGGCGGCTGAGTGGTGAGGTGTGGAGCCAGAGGTATCAGGACAGATTGTCAAAAAAATTTCTTGGGATTTTTTCAACCCGTCCAGTTTTGATCTCAGATTTCCCAGAGCGGCAGGCTGCCAACTTAACCACTCGGCCGTTCAGCCGTCAATTTAATTAAGTGACTATAAGGCAAGAAATTTTTAATAATGTATTGTTCATAATTTCGTAATTGTCTAATCTCAACACGATTTATTTCACTTCAGAACAATTGAAATTCCCTTTAGATATGATTTTCGTTTATAAACGATTATTATTAAATAATAAACAAAAAAATATTTGCTATTCCAAAATATTCAACGTAATCTAATTAGATGTTAACGTAAATATATGAAATATTTCTTTAAAAATTTATTGTTTTGGACAATAATACGACATTTTAAAGTTTCTTTTCATAAATTTGTAAACAAAAGGACGCAATAAATAAAAAAGACAATTTATTCTTTTAAAATTCTTGACTGAAAAATTATTTAACTTTTGTAAAAAGTCATGTAAAAAGTAAGGAATTAAATTTAAAAACTTTCAGTCATAAATAAAGTATTAAAATTTCAGTACTTTTATGACAATATTTGAATTCAAATGCTATAAATTTGAAATTTCAGATAAATATGACTATCTAAAATTTAATTTAGACTGTAAAAATTTACCTTAGAGCATATTTTTGTTTAATATAAAAGCATTATTTTTTTTTATGTAACAAATTTTTATTTGTTAGGATTATCTTAATTTTACTAAATAATTGCATTCATTTAACATTAACAAGTAAATTACTACTAGTATGTAATTTTGAAAATAACAATGTTCAGTTTACATAGAATTTTTCATTATCTACAAAAATAATGCTCTATGATAATGTTACATCTCATATATTATAAAAATGTTTTCATAAATTAATTGACTGTTTGTGTCATGTGATACTTATAAAATTTATGAAACATATCTACTTGTATTTTTTTTTTCTTTTTAACTGTAATCATCTATGAAATATACAATATTTAGCAATTCACATATTAGAAATTATGTAGCCTAGCATATTATTTGATCCAGTGTTTGACTTAAGTTATCATTCTCATTTAATGTAACTATGCATGCTTGCATATAGATCATTTCACACTATCACTTAATACCTGATTGTGTATTTATTTTTCTAACAATTTCACAGTTTCATATTCTACACAGAAGACATGGTGCTAGAATTGGCAGTTTATATTTAAAGATCTTAGCATAAAAGATACCTTGTCAATAATATATTTTTTCAAACAATTATCTGATTAAAAATATTTATATGCATACATTTTTTGAATTATATGAGACATCATTTAATTTCTCTATTATGATCACAAATTATTTTCAAATCTATAATTATAAATTTTAATATTTGGAAACATGGCACAGTAAATTCAGTGAAATATAGATAAATATAGATGATGATAATATAAATATAGCATCTTTTACAAATAAAAGATAATGATAAAAGTCAAACACTGTTCGGCCCTCCGTTCACCCCTCGTTACGCCACTGCCCAGAGCAGTAGGCTGCCATCTTAATCGTTCTTCGGGAATCGAATCTGGGCAGTCCAAACCCCAGGAGTATTTTATGGGCGCTATGTCTGGCCCATCCCCCCACCCGCTGAAACTCAAGATGAATATGGATAAAGGTCCTCTTAGTGCCAATAGAGCAGNATAATTCAATTTTGAATTGAAATTTTGTTTATTGAAGTAAATGCAAATGGAAATATATATATATATTATACATAACATGTATTTATGTTTTTTCTTTACGTATAACTAAGTTTATAGTTTTGGACTTTACTGTATTCCTCTTTTTTTTATTCGCATGAATACTTGGGCCAACAATTTATGGAATGTTTATTATCACTTGGGAAAGAAACATACAGATCCCTTCGGGTGCTCAGGTCACAGCCATTAATTTAAATGGCATTAAATTAAAATAATGAGACATTCTATCTGCATTAAAACTTGTCCAGTTATTCCAATAGCATTGCAATTTCACAATTGGAAATAATCCTTTAAGCATTTGCATTACCTGTACAAAGATTTTTCCCAATTTTTTTCCATAATAACAAGTAGCATGAGGGAAAATTAATCAATTCAGAATAACAACCTAAACTGGCCTTGTTACAGTAAATGTGATTTTATAACATTCAATGGGCATATTTTTAAATAATGTACATAAGGTATTTTTTCACAAAAAACACCCAACAAGACCGCTACATTCAGGAACTATAAAAACTAAGTACACAAATTACCAGCACTAATTTCCTTTACACCATTGCACACAAGAAAGAACAATCATTGCTTTCAGAAATACCACAGGTGCAATTTTTGCTGTGATTCTCTTACTAAAAATCAAATCTCGCCACGAGATGATATCACATGAATAAATTTCAAAAGGCAAAGAGAACTTCTAAGGACGGATAAATAACATGCAGTTGAAAGAATATGACTAGGTACATAATCATAAGGGAGAGAATACACACTATTTAAGACATCTATCAATCTTTGACAGTTTTCTTGTGTCAACATCAAATAATTGAAATCTAATTTTCTAATTTATTCCTAACCTATATTTGCTTTTGACATCACAATGTAATCCAAGATAAGATGGAGGGAAAAAGACAATTATTTTCAATTTAAATAAATTTTTGTGCACAATTTAATTTAAAATGATCATTTAATTAATAATGGTATTAAATGAGATATTGATTTTGAATAATTTACTTCCTGTCTTTTTCCCTCTCCTTGCTATCACCTATTTTTCTTCTATATGCAAAATTCAAACATTTCACTGTGATGCTATACACATTTCACACCAGCAAAAACACAGAATTATTACTATTTAAGAAATTTTACTACTGCTGTTTTGGGTATGACAATTATTTTTTCTTTTTTTTTTTCTTTTTTGTTTTTTTAATTCTAACAACCAGCACCAACAGATTCAAATATGGTCATTTTGGCAAGAACTGGAAGGCCTCAGGACTGCTTGGTTGGTCTTAAAAACATCACAATATGATAAAGCCCACTATTATTTGTATAGAATTGGGCTTGATCCTTGATTTGATGCACAAACATAAAAACAAATATACTAAACAAAGAACAACTACAACTTTATTCTAGGGCAAAAGGCATAAACAGAACACTCTGCTGCTGAGTACAACAGATGTACTACTATAATACTACTAAATTTAAAGGAAAAACTTATAAATATTAATAAGCATAATGTCTGAAAATAATAACTTTCAAGCATATTTAAAGAAATATAAATATTTGTTAAGTGTATTTATAAATAACAGATTATAATGCATAAGAGTATTAGCTGAATGCTGAAGACTTTTTCAACAAACAACATTTAAAAAATTAACATTTTATATTGATTTTAAATCTTGAAGGTAGACAATAACACGAACAGTGGTAAATATTCCTAATTTCGTGTATCATACTGTAAAAAAAAACTATATCATGGTTTAATAAAAATAGTAAGAACTAAATCCTGAACTGGTTGTATAAATTAATTAACTGTTTATCTAAAATTTTATACTATTCCTATGTAACTGTAAATCTAAATGTAATGTATTCTTTTATATTCACAGAAAATTTAAACTTTCAATTTATAAATTTCTTAATACAAAAAATGATTTAAAGTAACTTGAATTTTGACTGAAAAAAATGTGTGTATATATATATATATTTCAAATATTTAAAATTTTAAAGAATTTTGCATTTAAAGCACAAATTTAAATTATTTAAGAATTCAAAATTTTAGCATTAAACTCATTGTTTTGATATCTTATAACATTCATAAATGAAAAACTTTAAAAAAAATATAGCAAACATAAAACAAAAACAAATTAAATATACATAAAAGTACAAAACTATTTTACTTCCTATGAGTAAATAAATATATATCAGAACAACTTTATTTTGGCAGTTTAATATTGATTAATCTTGAAAATACTTTGTTTATATATATTATTTAACATATAATATATTCTCCAATTAGAGATGAGATTCTTTAAAACCGAATTTCAGTTAATAGATTTTTCTGTTCAGTCAGCAGCAGAGAATACATTAAGCAGTTTATTATGATAAATATAACCCTTAGACAAGATTTGCCTCATATATTATGCCCCCTTAAACTCTTGAAAGTTTATATTGTACAATATTAAAAAATAATTAACAATCATTGCTATCAAAATATTTCACACTAATCAAAAGACAATACTGTATAACTATCATAGCAAACAAAATCTTTGGTCATTTCCTCTCAATCTGCATGTTTTAATATTTCCTTAAAAGAAACTGTAACTATTTTCTGTTATATCTTGTGCTGCATCTATACTATTTTTCTATTAAAACAAACTTTAAAAAGATGTTTAAATGAATTCTACAGAATTAATAAAGTAACCTGTTCCCAGCACAGGTCAAAAAATTAAACTATATTGAGGGTACTTTATCAATATTTGTACTTCACTTTCAAGCTCCAATTTTAACACTAAGATTAGATATATCTGATACATATTCAGAGAGGCCTAGGAAAAATAAATTGTACATGCCTTATTTTTAATTTATGCCAAACACTGCTGAAATTAACATCAGCAAATATGCTGGGCATTTTGATTTTTAGCATACTTTTTATATTAGATTTGCACTTTTGTTTTTTTACATGTCTACAAAATGAAATTTACAATGGTATTTCCAAATAAATTGTTTACATACTAGACTGTTTCAATATTTTGACATTGACAAGAAAATACCAAAAAAAGGCAGTCCAGAAGGTATGTACCTAACTATCTACTGCATCACATCACAATTTGAAGTTCTCCTTCTCTGGCAATACACTATTAGAACAATATATCACAAAAGGTCCAATCACAAAGAGCTAAAATTTTCACTATAATCTGGAGTTTGACCAGATTGTTCTCAGTAACCAACAGATTAACTGTGGTATACATTTTGACATATCTGGCATCTCCACATCCATCACAGTCATCAATACTCAGCATTTAACCATATCTGCATTTCCAATTTTTACATATATAAATTTTATAATAAATTCTGCATCAATCATAGCATTGGTAAATTAGATTAATCATACACAATGCTTCACTGTGTGCTGGAAGTTGTTGCACTCAATATCCTAATCAAATCTGCCTGATTCTAAAACATTATTTTATATTCCTTTCTGAAATGTGAAAAATATTTGGCAACATTTATGAAAGTTGCATCTACTGCTAAAAACACTAGCAGTTGATTAGCATTTATGCAAAATACCACAGTTCATTCTTCATGTTCTTAAAATTTACTCTGTATTATTGTAATTAATACCATTTTTAATATCATGTATGTGAACACCATTCATTTTACGTTCTTTACACACCAAAAATCCATTAATATTGCTTTCCTAAAAATCACCTTAAAACTACATCCTTTCTAGGACAGCACCACAAAATCTAGCATTATCTGCTAGAAAAAGAACACTGGATGAAAGAGGCAATCAACCACTGTACAGAAAGCAGTTCATTGCATTTGACATCCAGTTATTCTAAAATATGATGATGATGAACTACCCAATGTGAAGTGATCACATATGAAGATTACATTAAGCTTTTGTTTACAATGCACATTCTGAACGTGCTGAACAAGCATGACTCTCTTAGAGTACTACAATCTTTGCATTACTGGCCACTGTGTAGTTGTAACAACCATCACAGTAAATCACAGCCGAAATGATGACAAATCACAGACAATTCCATTTCAATGCATTATGACTATGTTTCAAACACTTGGCAAGGCCAATTGGTGTGGTTTCACCACAAGTCTGAAGGAGCTGTACCAAACTCCATTATTGCACACTTACCACAATGCAATGAGTGTTGAGGGATTATGTTTGACATAATACCTCATGTGTATTTCACAAAAATTCAAAATAAGGACAGTTGTGATTCTGGAATAACCAATCTAGTTCAGCAATGTTTGGTTGCACATGCCAAGTGAAAATTGGCATAGGCACATGAAAATAGTCTGTACACATGTTAAATTTGTGGTCAAAAATGAGAACAGCTGACTATATGAGCAGTATTAAATATAACAGCACCACAGCACATTTTTATTCACAAGTCAATTGTTTGATAAATTTTTATCATTCCATTTTTCCAGTACTATTTGGAGAAGGTGGTTCCTGTTTTACACCTTTTTGTGAAAGAGCAAGCAATGCATTTAAACTGTTTTCTGGTGATTTCCCAATCTCCGAACTATCAGTTTTATCATTTGCATCATTGCTGTTATGAAGGCCACTGTTATTTAACATCATACCATTCGGGCGTGAGGCACTGTAATTATCTGAAGGACCATTCATGGTAATGAGACAATGGCCATTTTGAGCAGATGCCAATGGACTGGTACTAGATGTTAGACTAATAGCTGTTGATAGAGAAGTTATTGGTATTCCACCAGTTGCTCCTGCTGTAGAAACAAGATAATCCCGTTCTAATCTTGGTGGACGACCACGAGGGCGACCTTCTGGTTTAGATATGGGGATGGGTATTTCAGTATCTTCTCTAATCTGACTGGCCAGCTCTTTTACTACACGAAGGCCTTCATCCATTAAAGTTTCTTGTACTAACTGCTTTGTAATCTGTGAATTGGCTTTCTTACCTGACACCATTTTCATTGTATTGTACATATCAGAAGCCTGTGATGACTGATTAGAATCTCTAGAAGGAGAATCATGAGCATCATGACTTAAAGTAGGAGACGATGCATTACTATAGATTGAAAATTGTGAATCTGAAAATATATAAATAGCTTATTAAAACAAACCATAAGAGTCATATATAATATTTTTAAAATACTGTATTTAAGTGTGTCTATATTATATATATAATTATAAATACATATATAAATTATTATTTTTCTAACATTTAAATTTTTCAGTGCAATGCCTAAAGAAAAAAAATTCTCAATACAAATATTCTGAAACCAAAAACTGACAAGAGTATAATTATCAATTTTATTTAGATTTGAGTTCTTATTCTGTTAACTACAAAAATTACATGAATATATATTATGATAGACTTTTTATCAAACTGATTATATATCACATTGTATTATTATTTTATAAATAATTTGTCAGTTTTAGAAACAGTTTATTTATATATATAAAAATGAATGTATGTCTGCTGTCTATCCTTCATGCATTACTACACCATTTATCCAATTGCCATGAAACTTTGGGAAGTTGTTTAATACACTCTTGTGAAGGTTTCTGGCATAGTACATTTATCCTATGATAGGTGGCGCACGTGTATACAAGCATTTTATCATGAGCATTTCAGTGTGGTTAGGAGTTGAAACTTGAAATTTGGTACACAGTTATGGTATGTCACAAGAACGCACACTAAGAAGGGATTTTTCGAAATCCTCCCCCATGGGGAAAGGAACAGGATTAAGGCTTCAACAATGGAAGTGTTAAGAGAAAGCAACATGCAAGATTTACAGGCACAGATGTGGTTTTTTGCAGGAAATCAAACATAATTTTAGACCCATCTAAAAATTTTCTAATTAGTCTGGAAACAGGAAAACCTAATTCTTGCATTCTGTGAAAATGGGTAAGATTGGCTGTAATGTAATAATCTTAATCTTCGCTATCGTTACTTTTTGCCCAAGCAACGCCAGGCTTATCTGTTAGTAAACTATAAAAATGATCGTTACTTAAGAGACGATTAACTTGAATTGGCATGTAAAATATTGCCAATTCAACATTGCCTTGAGAATCAGTGGTTTTAGATTAGTTTGGAGTACATTGGTGTCATGTCTTGTTCTCTATATGAAAGATTAAAGGAATGTGACTTGACCATCAAAATGAGAATGTCCATTACTATGTTGAAAGCTTTTATTTCCACTCCTGACCTGCAAGTGGGTTGAAAGATAGCAGAATTGATATGTCTGATGCATAATCTGTTGACTTAAGGGATTCAAGCTTTTGGAAATTTATAAGTCTATTAGGAAAGATAAATGTGTTAATTAAAAGAATTCAAATTGTATTTCTAATGCTTGGAAATCACTCTTTGAGGTCCTCTGACCAAATTGTAAATGATATTTTGCATGACACTTTCTGGATCCTTATTCACTCATGCTGTTTTTTGTTATTTTATTTTATTTTCCTGGCTGTTATATGTTATATCATCACAAGGAAAAGTATTGTAATCATCACAAATTTTTACTTTTTTAATTAGGTTTCCGTTACTGGTTTTTTATAGATTTTAAAGAATTAAAAGCTAGTGGCTTTCTTTCTTCAGTAACACATCACACAAAGAACAGTTGATTTACGTATATTTTATTAAAGGAAATGCATTTCAGGTCTTAATGACACCTCTTCAGTCCTTAGACATTACAAAAAAAGAGATATAGGTTACATTATAGAGAATATTACATATAATATTTTAACAAATTTAAAAAAAAAATAACTTACATGGTTGATTGTTGGTTACAATTGACATTAAAGAGTATGTTGGGTAATTGACTGGGTAGTCTGGTTGTCAGCTGCAGGATATTGTATATATATGATGCTATTTTGTTGCATTATGTCAATATTTTGAATAATATTTTTTTTAGTTATTAGTAATTTTTTGATATTATTAGTAAATACAGGGGCTAGAGTTGTTATATATATAATTATTCTGTAATTATATATATAATAATTAGTAATTATTAATTAGTAACTATAGTAATTATTATATATATAATTACTAATAACTAAAGAAAATACTATTCAAAATATTGACATAATGCAACAAAATAGCATCATATATATACAATATCCTGCAGCTGACAACCAGACTACCAATACACAGGTGAAACTGGAAGAACCCTAAAAATCAGACTAAAAGAACATTAGCATGCTATTAAATTTAATTACACTAATTCTGCTGTAGCCATACATTGCAATAGTGAAGGTTGCAAGATCTCACCTAATAATCTAAAAATACTCAGAATAGAAAAAAATAGTATAAAAAGGAAATTATATGAATATCTTGAAATCACGAAAATAAAAACTTATAAAATGAACTTAAATGATGGACTAACCATTAGTGACATCTGGAAACCCCTCCTCCCTAACAAGTAGTATCCACACATGATCCTATCCCATCCCACTTCCCCCAGATGGCCCCCATCTGGTGAACCTACCCTGCCCTCCCGTATAGATACAACTTTGTTCTACAAATGCAAGCACATACTCAAAAATGATCCGAACTCTGCAGCAACTCTAGTAAACTGATTACCAAGTCAATTACCCAACATACTCTTTAATGTCAATTGTAACCAACAATCAACCATGTAAGTTATTTTTTTAAAAAATTTGTTAAAATGTTATATGTATTATTCTGTATAATGCAACCCATATCTCTTTTTTTGTAATGTCTAAGGACTGAAGAGGTGTCATTAAGACCTGAAATGCATTTCCTTTAATAAAATATATGTAAATCAACTGTTCTTTGTGTGATGTGTTACTGAAGAAAGAAAGCCACTAAATTTTACTTTTTTGTTACTTTCCAGATCATTTTAATGCAACAAGGGTTACATTCCCAGCTGTTATAATATAGTATTGTAATCATGTCATATTTGACCTTCCAGGTTTTTGGAATCACGATGTTTTGACACCTCTAAATGCAAAAAGTCAAAAACTGATTCCCGAACTTGTATATGGGGGCATTGATGCTATTAAAGTTTGGTGGTTAAAGATCAAGAAGGTGGAGAGATAGCATTAGGTCATCTATCATATCTCAAGAAGAGCCTGACTTAATGAAGTTTTTATTCATTACTGGCATTTACAAGTTTTTATAAAACACATCTCTACCCTCAAAATTAAGCTTTTTGCCATTTTATAAAAGTTAATAATATAAAAAGATTTTTATAACAAAATCTCATAACAGATGGCACCACACATTTATTTATTATAATTAAAAAACACTATATACTGTAAAAGTTATATTTTTTAACACCCAGGAAAATTACATAACTCGTTGCTGGATATTTTTATTTAAAATCTATATTTCAGTTTTCAGTTCTACTTTATTTTTGAAAATGTAAGTTTCTATTTTCAAATGCATTTGAACATATGATAAAATATAATAGATATTCTATTTTATCATATGTTGTAGCCTGAGGAAGATCATTCAATATGATTAAAAGCATTAGCAGTAAAGAACTTCTTACTGGAGTTATAAGATGTTGAAGTTATTAATCGATTTTGCATTATTTGCATTTTTACTAATAATATTGCAGTATCACAAAGTTTCCAAATAATTCTTCTGTTGCATTGGCTACAACTTTTTCCTTTCTGACCAAAGATCCTCAGCATTTCTGTCAATATTAATAATTTCTTTAATTTGATCTTGATATTTTTAAAATCAACAATGCTTTTAAATTTTAATTTTTTTATGCTAAGTTTTTTGATATAAACTTATATTTAATAATAATAAAATCTTCATTACAAAGAGCAGATAATCATTGCCAATGCAATCAAGCCTCTATAATCACTGTTACAATAGTTTACATATTTTTTTCCTATTGATATATACGGAACTGTATATCTATTACATAGACAACTAGTATTTTGAATCAACAAAGCATACATCAAATAAAATTCTATACTAAAGTTGCTTCCATTATAAACTATCTATAAAATAGTTTTTTCAGAAAAAAATTTATAAAAATTTAGTAAAAAAATATTTAATTACATTGAAAAAGTTTTGATAAATTGCACATAAATAAATAAAATTTATTAGATTAATTACTAAAATATAAACTTATAAACCAGTAATATCAAAACAAAGTATAATAAATGATGAAATAATAAATATTTATAAATAACTAGCAGATAAGCCCGGCGTTGCTTGGGCAAAAAGTAACGATAGCGAAGATTAAGATTATTACATTACAGCCAATCTTACCCATTTTCACAGAATGCAAGAATTAGGTTTTCCTGTTTCCAGACTAATTAGAAAATTTTTAGATGGATCTAAAAATATGTTTGATTTCCCGCAAAAACACAAAAAACCGCATCTGTGCCTGTAAATCTTGCACATTGCTTTCTCTTAACACTTCCATCGTTGAAGCCTTAATCCTGTCCCTTTCCTCCCAGGGGGGATTTCGAAAAATCCCTTCTTAGTGTGCATTCTCGTGACGTACCATAACCATGTACCAAATTTCAAGTTTCAACTCCTAACTGCACTGAAACGCTCATGATAAAATGCTCATATACACGCACGCCACCTATCATAGGATAAATGTACTATGCTAGAAACCTTCACGAGAGTGTATTAAACAACTTCCCAAAGTTTCATGGCAATCAGATAAATGGTGTAGTAATGCACAAAGGACAGACAGGCAGACATATATTTGTTTTTATATATATAGATAATAATCATAGAATAAATTTAAAAATATATAAATTAAATAGCAAATACCATATCTCTACAATGTAATTCAAAATAATATTAGTGTATATCAATTTTATGTTATTACTAACTTATTTCCGTAATTATTTATTATATGGAAGTCATATAATATAGCTGTTTACAGAATTTTATATTTTAATCATACAGTAAAACCTCATTATTTCAATATCGGATAATTCAAAGTATCACTTAATTTAAAGATAAGTCTAGTCCCCAGCCAAAAGATTAGGATTTTGCATACATTTTAGTTTGGATCATTTGAAATGCATGTACAATGAAATTCAAAGTCATTATCTGGTCAAGTGACCATAAAAAATATCATTTAAT